GTTCTGCAGATACTTTACTAGATTACTGTAAACCTCAACTGCTATAAGTATCAGTTGTCCATAGGTACTAGTCACCTGAGCCAAAGCTCACCGGAATCTATGCTGATTCCAATTGATGTTCACCAATGTTGGACCAGACCCCAGGTCACGACGCTGTGCCAGCGAACACTGGACTGCAACTTAGGCATTTGAGGCTGGTCCCAATGATCTTAATGCCATCAGAGATTTCCAGAGACACTGAAGAGAGGAAGCAGTATTTGGGCTCCTGTATGCAAACGGCCATCATTGATACACAGCTGATCCTTCTTGAAGGCTTGAGCCTTTGAGCAGGTACTTGAGATAACTGTAATGTTGTAATTACCCCCATGCCTAAACTGTCTTTTTTGGGAGCTAAAAACATCCTGCATTTTGCATGGAACTCCAGCCCAGCTTTCACAGGTCCCACTGTGGTGTCACGGAGACTGCAGAGCAAGAACAGGGAGTGGATCATGGGCACCGTGCAGACCAAGGGCAGATAAAACACGAGGACATTTCTAATTCCCCTTGGCAACCAGTTCACCCCATAAGATAGGGCAAGTACAAATCTGCCAACAGAGACTGATTTTACTATGTTGAGCAGTGGCTGCCCAACCATCTACATACAATGCTGGAGAGGATCATCTCTGCTCACAGCTCTGCCACCTCAACTACTGCAAGAAGACTACTCCTGCCTCTCCTGTCACAGGGACTGGATTTTGACCTTGCTCAGGCAAGAATCCCTTAGTCTTTAAAGAGACATCTTTACGCATCACAACTGTCAGATTATGCCCATAGGGCTAATATGTAAAAGCAGTATTTATTTTTAAATATCTTCCTGCTTTACATGAGATTTCAGTTCCAAACAATATGCATCAACTTTTTTTAAAAATTCACACACAAACAATATTTATCATCCAAATACCCTTTAAAAGCTGAAAGGCTGACATACTAAAGCCAAGAAGTCAATTTTAAAAATATATATATTTTTAAATTGTTTATAAGAAACATATGTTGCTGGTCCATTGATATGGAGAAAAAGCTTGTACCTGAAATTGATTAAAAGAATCATATTCAAAAAGATATGCTTGTCTGCTGAAAGGCGATATATTGCACCTTTCCACATAATTCTGCTGTCTCCATGGTCATCTTTACAAATACAACAAATCAGTGGTTTTGAAAAGGGTTTTTTTGTTGGGTTTTCATTGTTGTTGTTTGTTTTTGTTTTTTACAAGCATGGAAAAATTCCATTCACTCCTGAGTTAACAGAGAACACAATAAAATTCCTACATTTTCTCATTCTCAGATGAGATTTGGCAATGTGATTCACTTTATCTCCAAAAAGCATGAGGGTGGAATGGAGGGAACCAGCTACAGCTACACATGTATGTGTATATATGTATGTATACAAATACATACATACACATAAGGAATTGTGGGAGGAGGTGAGTAAGACCCACACAACACCCTGGAAACAGAAAGGCTGGGTACAGGCAAGTCAATCCCAAGAGCAGGTGGCGGGAAACATGACACTCCCCTCCCGCAACCTCTGCTCTCTCTGAATGCTGTGATGAGAGATTCATCCTTGAAAGAATGTTTTGAGGCAGAAGTAGATGATTGAGAGAAAACTGCCATTCGCTGAAGATTTTCACACTATGAAAGAGGTATTAGATAAACTGATAACTGAATTTGTGTGTCTGGTGAGAAAAGGAATCAGAACAAAGTGCATTTTACTACTGCCAAGTGTAGCTTATTCGGCTCTCCAGAAATCAAATATGCTGGGCAGTCAGTAGTTGCACTATTCCATCATTTTATTTGGATGGAAATTCCCAGTTGAAACAAACTGGCATCTGCTTTTCAAAAACTGGTGGACAGCTTGAACCCTCTCAGTCTTCAAATGAAGACATAAAAATTGACAGCAGACTTCTCAACATTAATAGGAATAAAATAAAATCCTGGACAACTTTAAGGAGTTTAGTATGTAGATTTTCTTGAAATAAAACAATAATTTCCCTGTGTTCTCCCAGAAATAGTGATAGAGTACATCATGTTTTATAAGTCCTAGCAAAATGAATCATCCACTTTCTTGGGACAGCATCAGAACTCACCACACATAAAAATAGTGAAACAACTCCTTTAGCAATGCATTACGACACATAACATGTCTGTGACCAGATTTTAAGGGCCTTTTTTCCTGTCTGTGGAAACATGAGCAGTCTTAACATTTCTGCTTCTTTTTTCAGTGCAATCAGTTCTCCGTAACTGCAACATTGTGAGCAAGTGCTCGCCTCTTTCAAGAAGAAAACCATCACAGCATCTGCTTCTCATAAGCACATTTGTGCGTGTGTATAAGAGTGTGTGTATGAGAGAGCGAGAGAGAGAAAGAGAAGTAAATCTGCTGAATTTAACTTAAAAGTTTGTCACGGGGAAGGATTTTTTCTGTCCCATCCTTCAAGCTGTAGAACACAGAAGCAGGGCTACTGCTATCCACTTGCGCTTTTACTTTCAACCCGCTTTGTAGTACAGGGGATGGTTTGTGACTGAGGAAAAAAAATGCTTTTATTTAACTTTCACAGTTGATTGACTAGTGCATGAACGGCTATAGAGCATAGGAGGTTTTATTGACACTTGTCTCCCAGAGGCTGA